AACCCCCCGAGCGCCGTGGGCTGAGCCTGTGCGGGCCGGGCCCGGGGCTGGGGGATGTGAGGGGGGGTCCATAGCCTCCAGGCCCTCAGCGGCTTCCTCGGGCTGTCACCTTTTGCCCCCCTGCACTTCTAAGGATTTCTTCAGAAATTAATGACTTTAAGGATCATCTTATACTTGTGCTCCAATGTAATATTTTTTCATAAGTGAGGGTGTTGCTGCGAGAAGGCCTGCTCCGATCATGGGAGCTGGTTTTTGGGATCCCGGCTGCAGCCGAACCACGGCATCAGTGCCCTTGGGATCTGGGGTGTGCTGGGTGCTGCCTGCACAGATACGCTCCTGGGGTGCTGCCTGCACAGATACGCTCGCTGCTCTGCTGCTCCAAACATGCTTCAGATCCTGGCTAAACTCAGGCTCTCTTGGAGTAAAAGATGGGATATAGTTAAATTTGCCATCTGCCCTACAGTATGTCATCTTCCTGGTTTTCCACCTAATTAGTATCAGGCCAGTGTGATGATTGCTCTTTCTGAAATCTCAAAGATGATTTGCTATCAAAAAAACTGATTAAAATAGCCCAAGAAAGGCAGTGTCATGACCTCATTTTCAAACTCTCTCCTCAACTTTTAAATTACTACAGCAAAGTGCAGTTTCGTAGCATAGAACAGACGGGACTGTAGAAGGCAGATACCGGTTTATTTGCTGAATTTCTTACTGATTTTGATTTTTGTTGCCTCTCATTTTACAGTGTTAGAATGGTCACAGGTGAAATTATAACTTTAAGCAATCTCGTTTAGATCCTGCTCGGGAAACTGCAAATACGCTCGTAAAAGCAGGCTTCAGGCTCTTGCTTGCCAGCTGTGTTCTCAGCTGTAGGGTGGCTGGGGTGCAGGGTTGGTGCAGTTGGGTTGGACAAAGGTTTCTGTCTTAACTCTTGCTGACAGCACCCACCCAGGTGCAGCACAGTGTGTTTCCAGTTGCTGCAAGAGCTGTTCTGCTTGGGTGTCACTGGTTTCTGTTTCCTGATTATTCTATAGAGGGATTAAAACTGTTTTGGAAAGTCTGATATCCTCTCTTGATCTAAAATTTCACAGACTTGGGAAGTAAGCGCTATTCTAACTAGTTCAGAAGTGAAATTGTGAACTTTTAGCTAGAAAAATCCAGAGTAGGGAAAAAATTCCTTGTTTTTCAGACTATGAAGGAAATAAACATGAGTGAGTTTGCTTGCTGGTTCTTGCTGTCAGTGACGTTCCCTTCAGGAGGCTGGTTCAAGGTGTTGCCAAAGCCCCTGGGTGGGAATTCTGCATCCTCATGGTCGGAAGCGGTCTCCAGTAAGCAATCCCATCTCTTTGGTCTATGGAGTGGTTTACAGGGCTGCCCAGGAATTGCCAAATGATACTTTGCTGATGAAATAATGTTAGCCAGGGCTGTTGGAGACATTTTGAAGTGATACCCACCTGTTGTTGTGATGCTAGGAAATTAACTTACATATTTCTGTTGAGGAGGCACGAGTAAGTTGGTGACATTTGTAAAAAAAATAGTATCCAAATACTGTTTCGCATCTGGTACAATTTTTCGTTAAAAGCTTATGTCTGCTTGCAACTGGGTATTTTCAAGGGATCCCTTAAAATAGCCTTAAAATAGTATTTTTGTCTTCCTCGTGGCTTGCAAACAGTCATTGCCAGAGTTTCCACTGTTCTGAGTTTGTCCGTGTGTGTGGAACAGCCTCAGCTCTCCCCTTGGTTGGGTGTAGCTCCCTGGCTGGGATGTCTCGGCAGGGTTAATGACTCCTGATGCCAGTGCAGAGCTGCTGTGGCTTTTTAATGCTTTGGTCTGACACTCCTGTGAGTTACGCAGTTACTTTTCCTGTGTGATAAGAGTAGATTTAATATCTCTCTTTAGATATTACCAGTGTGCCTTTACAATTAGGTGTCTATTTTTTCCCATTTATAAGTTATTTCCCTTGAACTCTGCCAGCTGACACGGCGGCAGTTCTGGGTGTATTTGGATAGCTCTGTTTCTAAAACCACCTTTTTTGTGGTGATGGAAAGTTAACCTAGATTAATGCCAGTTCAGCTGTGTTCACAGAATAATCCTGTTCTCACTTTAATCATTTTAATCTTGCCCCTTTAAGTCTTTTCTGTAATGCATAAAGATTTTGCTTGTTTTATCCGTGAGTTTTAATAGATGGAAAAGGTTGATACAACTAAACGCTGTGAAGTTATTCTCACCTCAGTAATCCGAGCGCTTCTCTTACATCATGCTGTTTGCCCTGATTTGCAGGTTATTTGAGTCGATCGTTTTTCTAAGCCCCACAGAGGCTTTTCTGGATCGGTATTTTGCTCAAGCAATAAATAAATCTGCTGACGTGTATGTTCTGCTGTGTTTGCTTGTTCTTGACCTTTGCTTTTTAGCCATGCAAGGGACAGTTTCAGTCATGACATTGTGTAACTGGGTGTTTCTGCATGGACAAGTGTATTTGATTTGTATTCTTAAAATTTGTGCCTGTTGCAGATGTTCAGAGCGTAGTGTAGGATGTGGTTCAGAGTTTCAGGGCTAGTCACAGAGAAACCAAGACTCCTAGTGCTGCGTCATCTCAGCAGATTTTGTTCCCGTGCAAACAAACATAACTTAAATAGGATTTCCTCCTCTTTCCGTATTATCTTTCTAAGATAGACCTGTTATTGCACAGTGGAGAAACTTTGTTTGCTGTCACGAGTGCAATTGCGATGACAGGTGCCTGGATTTTGATCTGGTTCTGACTGCTGCGTGCTGTGCTCCAGGGCCAGAGCTGCTCTAAATGCACCTTGTTGCCCCCCCAAGGTACCACTGCAGCATCAAAACGAAGGTGGCAGGAAGCCCTCGGCGGCGAGGGTGCCTCTGCCCGCTGCCCTTAGCAGCACAGTCCAGTTTCTCCAGGGCAGTCGGACTCCAGCACGCCCTGATGGTCGCAGGGGTTACACGCTCCAGTAGGAACTAGCTGGCTAAATGCTTCTCGGGATGTTGCCCTTTAGTCTTTCAAGAGATTTTCACACTAGATACTGATTCACTGTGTCCAACTGCTGCTTTCAGTGTGATTATCCTCACTTCAGATAATGAGGAAATTAAGATGAAAGCTAAGAAACAATTTGCTCATGGCTGCGCAGTGAGCCTAGTGACGGCTTTGTTCTTGCACCCCAAAGCATTGCTTCAGCAGTAGCAGCGGTTCTTCCCCGGTGCCGCCTGTCCTGGGCTCTCGAGGTGTGCAGAGCTCCCCTGACACCTCCGCTGTGCCCGCCTCTTTGGAGGTGGCTGTGCCTTTGGTGGCAGAGGGTTTTTTCTGGGGCAGGAACAGCTGAATTTGTCAGTCTGTGCAATACCTCTTGGCTGCTTGCCTCTTTCCCAAAGACGAGTCTAGCAGCCTTATGTTTTTTTAGCCATACCCCAAAGAAAGGGTACTTGTGGCATGGCAGAGCTTTGTCCCGGTAGCAGGGGGTGTCCTGTCTGTGATGTTTGGCTGACATTGGCTGATGGTTATATGACGCAACCGAAGTGTTGGCTGTAGTCATCCTGGCTGCCTCTCAGCTCAGCCTCCTGTTCTTGAATCTAAGCGGAAGGTATTTTTTTGGGAAACATGGTGTTCTAGAGTTCTTTTCTAAAAACAGGTCTTGCATTTAAGGTTTAAATTGTGGCAGCCTTTGCAGGACACTGCAGGAGGTCACGGTCTTTGGCAATTCCAGTGCTTTGTGCTAAGCAGTTGTTTCCCATCACAAGCCAAACAGAGAGGTTCTGTGCTGATGGAAGGGATTTATTTGGTATCCAGCTTCTCTGGATTCAACTTCACAAAACTTCTTCACCTCGTGTCACCTCTGCTTCAAACACCAGCAGCTCCCGAGGGCAACTGGAGCACTGACACCCCTCCGTTGCCCTCTCAAAAGCGAGACTTTTCCCAGTTGAAAAGTTTGAAGATCCTCTGAGGTCTTCAGTGGAGCATCACACACCTCCACCAAACTTAAGATAAAATAGTTTTTACTTCTTGCAAAGACTTCCATCCACGTAGCATTTTCCAAGGCAGGGGGGCAGGGGAGGTCTCTGCGGCTGAATCAGAAGACCTGGATTCTGTTTGCTCTTTCTACACTATTTTTTTTTAATGTGTTGCAGGGTCACTTAATTGGTCCATGATACAGTTTACCAAAACTAACCAATTTTGTATTTTTTTTACCCAAGACTTTGAGTTACTTTTGTTACCTATAAATTTCTGAGTGTTTAATGTGCTGTTCTGACAGATCTTAACTGCATTATATTTCTTGTTTATTTCAGACTATAAGATTCAGATATGTCCTTCATATTTGATTGGATTTACAGCGGTTTCAGTAGCGTATTACAGTTTTTAGGTAAGTTTTTGTTGTTTGGGTTTTTTTCTTTGTATAAAATGTCTGTTCACCTCTGTTATCGTCAAATATATTTGCTGGTTAAATCATAATCATAATAATGACACTCAAACAATAGTTTCACTTATCAATCCTGAGTATTTCCAGAGTCTATTCTCCACTCAATCTTTTGTTAATCCTTTAACCTCTTGAAAAATTACATTTTCTTTCATGAACATAAAAACTTTTATTTCCTCCCCCCCCCCCCAATCATACTACATTTAAGTTGGTGTGATTCAGTTGACTTTATGGAGTTTTTTTATCTGCTGTAAGGAACTGAACTCTGTTATTCTAGCTCAGCTCTTTTGCACATGAGGTTATCACTTGACAATCCAAATATGAGGAACTGTCTGCAAAAAATTATTGAAGCCCTTGCTCATGTTCAGCAGTGTGTTATTCTGACAGATGTCACTGAAATCAGTGTGAAACTTCACTGGCACCTGCTGAAGAGACTTGGGAAAGTATTCCCTGGCCAAAAGAGTCTGCAGTCCATGTCGATTCGAGGTGAAATATTAGCTTATGCAAAATGGGGGTGGCGAGGAAGAACAAGAGGAGGAAAGGGAATGCTAGAATACTAAAAAGAAGAACAGAAATTGCAGATCACATAGGTAAAAGGCACAATTTACCAGATAAAAAGCATTTGAGATCAATGAATCGTGGCAAGCTGTGCCACCTGCCTTTTATCAGTTGAAAGTTTAAACAAGTTTAAAGCAAAAAAAGCTGAATGTTGGACCCTTGGCCTACTATCAGAATATTAGCCAGTGAAATTTTAACTAAGTTGCCTAATCTTTCTTATCTCCTCTTACTTAGCTGAGCAGTGGCTGCTGCATGCTGGCCCCCTTTTCTGTTCCTCTGCATGCAAAGTCTAATTCTGGTGAAAGATACTGGAAATTGAAGTAGGAAGGAGAATGGCTTTCAGTATGTTCCTCTTATTCTAGAAGGAACACTCCTTTTCATTCTCATTTACATTTACAGTTGAAGAAGGTTGGCTATAACATTTGGGATACTCCCCACAGTTCTCTGAGCTGCCCTATCAGCAGGCTGATGGGATCACTTCGTGAAGTACATCTTTGTGCGGGTATACTTTCAGAATGCACAAAGAATCTTTCTGTGTATATATAAACTATGGTCTTAGTGTAGCTTGTGGCTGAAGCTGCATGTTTGTCCTGTGATTCTGTGAAAGACACTTGGGAGGTGTGGAATGTTTCAGAGATAGCAGAGACACCTGATTTGAGAGCAAAGGCTGAGAATGGCAAAAATACTGTTGTTTTACTATGGTTTGGTAGGGTTTTGCTTAACTCATAAGGTAAGTGTGAACTGGAGTTTCTCCTATGACATGCTACATGAAATGTTTGTCCACTCCTTGTTCCCCTGTAAACATTAATACTTTCTCTTCTGCTCTTTAGTTTAGTAGTTAATATATATTTGGGCATGTGAGAAGGTGAGTTTGGGAAGTAAGAGTTCTTGTATTTGAAAGAACTGTGAAGATACTCTACAGTACCTACAGTAATATAGTTCATTAGTGGAAGAAGCTGAGGAATGTGAAAGAATATACATTCCTGCATGTTACAAAACCTGTCACACTGGAATGCGATCCCAGAGATAGCTGGAAGGCAGAGGGAGAGGTGAGCAAACACGGGTGGTGTAAAGGTCGGCCAGGCGCAGGCACGTGTGCCCCTGTAATGCTGCAGCATCGGGGGGCTGTCTGAGCATCGTTTGAAATCCCACCAGGTGAAACGCATATGATGATAACACATTAGATAAGAAGAAAAAAGAATGAGGGCATCCTCCAGATGTTACTGGCTCACTCTGTTGTGCCCAGTAACCTCCTTGTGTAGAGACCCACCCAGACCAGCTGCCAGTGTGCACTTTGGGGCTACCAGCCGCTTGCCCGTGGCCCCAAGGCACGGTGCGGGAGGCACGGTGTGGGATGTTGGTGTGTAGTTTGCAGATGGGGAGGGTTGGGTGTGTTTGCAGGAGAAGGTGCAGTTAAGTGCAGGTTCTGCCATGGTGGGATGGTTGAGCTTGACCAGTAAAGTCCAATTGTGCCCTTCACAAAACATTTCTGTATCATCGTAGTGGTGGTAAAATAAACTTCTCTTCAGCATTCTGCAAAGTGCCATCATACTATGGCATTATATAGTAAAAGATCCTGGTGACTTCAAAGCCTCCCACGTCGCAATGTTTGGGTGTATTTTCCAATTCTTTTCACAGAAAGACAAGAGAATTGTTAGGGGCATAGCTCAGTTTAGCTTTTGAAGAAATGTAATTTCAGCATAATGTATGTATATTTCCCCACTCTTTGACGCAGGAGTTCTGCCCTCTTCGGCACTCTGTGAGGTCAGTAGTGGCTCCTAAGGAGGTGTGCAGTGTGTAGTATCCAGCCACAGGTCTTTGAAGAGGGAATAAGAGAAGATTTGATTTTCTGCTGAAAGGCAAAGCTAAGAGACTCTTACTTAAGTAGTTTTTTCAGTATGGAATGTGATTTATATTTTTTTTAATGAAATTTGTCTTTAAAATGTTTTACTTTGAATGTCAATCCATTTGAAGCAGTGAAAAGTAATCCTGGCATAGGATTGGCAAGTGTTGGCAAGGTCAAGAGAATCACTCCTTGGTAACCTCAAGCTTAAGAAAATACAGTGTTCGTGTCCTTCCTCTCCTTCACAGCAACTGCTGTATTTACTGGGGTTGCAATAGAGACATAAAGGGTAAAAAGCATTTTTATATAGATGACAATTAGTGAAAACAAAATTTCTTATTCCTGGTATAAAAGGATTATCGTATTGACAGCAAGCGTGTCAGAATTGCTGTGGTATACCATTCAGGGTATCTGTACAGTCTAGCTGGGGATATGGGGGGATATTACTTTTGTTTAAATAATATATGAACCAACATAAAATTCATACAGATGCAAATTATGACTATGGACATTAAAACTAGTTTATCTATACTATACCTTTTGAGGTCTAACTTTTTGCCTCAAGCAGTGTTTTTGTTGTAACTGGAGGCAGCTGAACCAAACACCCTCTGTTCAGGTCCGGGACGGTCCGTATTTTAGAGCCTGCTGTCGGTGCTGTACACACACACCCTCCTCTCCACTGCCTGCGAGCATACCTGTCCTTTTGCTGGGGCAGAGTAAGCTACACTGGCAAAATTCAGTCCTGTTTTGCTGTGGCTTTCCCAAGATAACGTAAATATGTTTACACAAATGACACCTTTACATCAGTTGCATGCCTCTCCCCCACTAGCATCCCATAAGCTGCACGTGGTACACATGGTGCAGCAGGCACATGAGCAAGTGTGAATGTAGTTCGTACGAGTAGGAGAACAGGGATAAAGGGCACTGATAAAGTGCACGGCAGAGCTTGGCCCATCTGTATTTTGTACCATGACTGTAACACATTGCTCCTGGGAGCAAAATCATCTCGAGTGCTAGAAATAAACTCCTACCAATCCAACTGATTAATCTGTCCATCCTCCTTTGTTCTAGGACTGTATAAGAAATCAGGCAAACTAGTGTTTCTTGGACTGGACAATGCTGGAAAAACTACGCTGCTGCACATGCTCAAAGATGACAGACTGGGACAGCACGTCCCCACACTACACCCCAGTAAGTTAATGTTGCTGGTTCCATGGCTAAAAGTATTTAAAGAATGGCAGGAAAAGCAGGGTCTGGTTATACATCGTAAGACCAACAGTGTATGGGGGAGAAACAAAGGAATTTCTGGGATTGCAATCTGTAGATAGTTCAAGTACTATTCAGAAGAATGTATGTAGGATAGTTCAATGTGGTTCATTTGAAATTGAGGAGAAAAACAAGCAGAGTGGTGGAGCTGAGAGTGTAGGTTACAGAAGCTGTGGGAAATTGGGGCTTGCAGTGTTTGGGAGCAGCTTCTCTGTGCCGCTGGAGAATTAGCATTTCTGTACACTGTTTTGATTTTTTTTTTTTGCTCGGAGCTTGCTGTGTAGTTGTTATCCTGGTAGCCTCGCAGGAGAAGAAGTTCAACACAGGTTAAAAATGTGGATTGGTGAAGTCCGGTAAGGAGGTGAGAAGCTGGGAAAGGGTGTGAAGAGGAGAAACCTTCAACAGTATTGTACGTCAAATGCCGTCTTCATGGCAAACCAGATGCCAGCGCCAACTGTTGTTTGTGTAGTGTGTAGGGATAAATAATGCAGAAATATTCTCTGCTATTCTTAGCATTGTAGATATTTCACACAAGTTTTAATGGTTACTGGCATTTTGTTGTTAAACAAATGTGTGATTGATTTTGAGAGTAAATGTATTGCTCTGATTTGTTTCTTGAATACCAAAATACTGAAAAGACCCAAGAGAAAAAGTAAAATCTAGAAGGTTAGACTGTTCCAATGTACTGCATAATCTTCACAGAACATAATTCTGTGTATTTCTAGCTTCAGAAGAGCTGACAATCGCTGGCATGACTTTCACTACCTTTGATCTGGGTGGACATGCTCAAGGTAAGAGAACACGTTGCCTCGCTTCCCTGAATTGAGTTAGTTGTGTGCACCCTGTTTGTTTCAGGTCAGAAATACGACCATGCTGCAGAGATCGGCTTCCCACGCTCTCTTTGGCAGTGGAGAAAACCATTCACTGCTCTGCTGTCCGTCTCCACCATTTATCGCAAATCACAAACACAGTTTGGCAAGAGCTGCAGTAGAGCAGAAACTTTTGATGGATATCTGTGTTTTGAAGAGAATTCTGTACTTTGAATTACTTACATTTACCTGTAAGCTTTATGCTTCAAACTTACCTTTGTTGGCATAATTCTTGAGGAAACACAAAGTTTCAGTACATCAGTGTGCAGGTGGGATAGATAGGGTGGTGGTAACAGTAAAGGCAATGATACTTTTGTTCCATTATTTCAAGCTTTGTAAAACATGACGTTGCATCCTGAAGACTGGCAACATAAGACTTCCAAAAAACCCATAGCTTCTTAATTACTGATATGCATCGCTCAGAATTTTGGGATAATTTCCTTTTGTTTTTAATTTACATCTTCCTTGTAGCTCGCAGAGTGTGGAAAAACTACCTGCCTGCAATTAATGGCATTGTGTTCTTGGTGGACTGTGCAGATCATGAAAGATTGCTTGAATCAAAAGAAGAACTTGATGTAAGTTTAAAAAAGTTTTTGAAAGTGTTAACTTTAACTTCTAAGAAATAAGCTCAAATTCCCAGTGTCTAACAGAGCTCTGCTGCCACCTGGACATGAGTAGCAGCGATTTGACCTTCTATATTCTAAATTAATCTCTCTTCCTTTCTCTGTTCCTTTGTAGTCACTAATGACAGATGAAACTATTGCTAATGTGCCTATCCTAATTCTTGGTAACAAGATTGACAGACCTGAAGCCATTAGTGAAGAGAGGTTACGAGAGATGTTTGGTCTGTATGGCCAGACAACAGGAAAGGTAATGCTCCTTTTTTTTTTTTTTCTGGTGGCTTTGGGGTTTTTTGTTAGGGATTTTGTTTGCCTTATATTTGTGTGTTGACTCCAGTTCACTCCAGCTACACAAAATAAATGGCTTTTAATTTATAAAGTACTTAGTATATAATAACTGTGTATGGAATGAATTGTGGAGCCTCTTTTTTTGTGTGTGTGTGTGTTAGATGCATCTCTACTACAACTTTTTACGTCACTCTTGCAATGGTCAGTCCTACAATTAGTAGTAAATGTTCTTTTTGATCTGGTTGGACAGCTATTAGAGCAGGGAACTGTGACTGAAAACTGAGAAAAGCGCTCAAATTCTGTGTGTGAGCTTACTGTTGTGCTCCGGTTTCATGTACTTTGCCCTCTCCAGATGAAAACATGCTCAAGTGACCCTCATCTTAGTAACCTGTACAAGTTGTAGTTTGATTTGTTTTCTAAAATAAATAGAAATAAATTCCAGTGTCCAGCACTAGTTAAATAATGACATTCCATAGAAGTAAATGTCCATATAAAGCAGCCGTCTCTTTATAACAGTACTGTAACTTGGACACTTCTGTCTTTCTGCAGGGCAGTATACCGTTGAAAGAACTGAACGCGAGGCCGCTAGAAGTGTTTATGTGCAGCGTGCTAAAGAGACAAGGCTATGGAGAAGGCTTCCGCTGGATGGCACAGTACATTGATTAACGCCAAAATCACATCACTCTGTCCCACGTCTGAATATTAAGTCTGCTCCTTATTTGATCACTCAGTGTGCGTAACTTGAATTCATTTGACTGTTTAGTTATAAAAATATACATTTTTAGCTAATTATATCACATATGCTAAATTGTAAGTGTGAGGACTGAAATTATTTCAAGTAAGTTTGCAAGTTTCTGTACTACAACCTGTGAGCTTTCTAATCCCATGCAACATTCTTTTGCAGCTTTTAATTTAACAAGTCTCCGGCACTGTTTTTGGTCAGAGCAACTTTCCAGTACAGTATGTTTGAATGCACTTTTTAACAGCTAAAAACTATGAACATGTGAAAAATATTTAATGCTTATGTTAAATTTTTTTATGTACTTTTTTGAAACTGGTTTTATAACTTTAGAGTATATAACCATCTTTCAAGGAATAATAAATAATTAGATGATGGGTAATTGCATGATGCCTTACAGTTTTCAATAATATACTTTCTTATGCAACGTCATGCAATAAATTTAAATCCAGTTTTTGGCAACTTTATTGGAAAATGTTTCATTTTAATGTGTCTTACTAGTGAGGCTGCCTGATGATCTGAATATGTGGGATATTTTCCTGAAACACAGAAGGCCACAAAGTAGTTTCATTGTATGTTAGAGTAAGGTGGTTTTTTCAGACTACCAAATTTATTTTAGGATTTTGTATTAGTACAAGAAAAATCTAATCCAATGCCCTTATAACCACCACCTTTAAAAATTAAAAATAGTGTAAATCAGCTGTCTCAATGTAAATCTTGAACTAATGTCAAAAGTGGTCTTACTCTACTGGTCTCTTGAATTAAACCCCTGAAGTGACATGAGAAATACAGGGTTTTTTTCTGAAGAAATTAAGAATACTGCTGCACTAAATATTCTGTTTCTAATACAGTTAGATTTGGGATCTGCCAGAAGATTTGCCTGTGAAATTTCCGGGGGGAAAAAAATGTTGCCATTGCTATTTGTGAAAATGTATCAGCCCACACCCAAAGGTCAATTTGATTTTGAACTGAGATGAGATGGATAGTTTTCTGTGGCTTTGCCCTGAATCTAGCCAGGTGCTGGCTGCCCAGGTGGCTTATTTCTGGGGTAAAATTTGGTTACGTGCAGTCCTTATTTCCAGTCTTATGACTGTTTTTCCCCATCTTCGAGTGCATTAGTTCCCCGAAGAGAAAGTAGGCTGTTTTTGAAGAAGGGGTGTTGAAGCACATGGTGTCTGACAGTGTCTTGTTGATGCTGGCTGACACTGCCATGGAGCTGTGGTTGGTGTTTCTGTGTGCTGGGCGTGTTTAATCTCTTGAATGCAGGTAGGGTTTCAGCCAGGGAGTCACCATTTCACCGTGGTGGGTTTGAGTTTCACTGTGTAGTTTGTTTTCCCTTTGTAAGAGTACGAACTGCTGCAAGTGTTTTTACTGAATCCCTTTTACTCGCTGTTGTAGGTCTTCTCCAAAATACTTCAGGCCTTAGGTTTCCAATATCCACAGCAGCAAATGTATTTCTGACTGGTTTGATTTCATAAATAACTTTCTCTCTTGACCTGCTGGGTTTGAATCTCGGATTTAAAGCCTATAGGCTCGTAGCAAATAAATGAGACTTTTTCCTTGCCCAGATCTGAACTTGATGATTAGATATGGATGATCAGTTCCCCACAGTCCTACACTGTGCATCTGAATAAGGTGAATAATTCAGAACCTAACCAATATAAAGTGTAACTGAAGTTTATTACTGTACAGTCATAGGCAAAGCATTAAGCCTAGTTTGTGCGTGGGGAAGTTCAGAGGGACAGTTTGGATCAGCTTTTCCAAATGACCAACACAAGAGAATTCTGCATTTAAGCTAGCGCTCAGCTGTAGTGTTCCTATGGCATAAATCACAACTGGAAGTAAGAAGTGGCCTCTTGCCGGCATGTGGGCAATATCTGAGTCTTTACCTACAGCTCTTACGTAGAGGACGTGTCTTTTATTTTCTCTAAATTTTTCTAATGATGGTTATAATGCAGAGGAGAACAGCTCAGTCAGTGGATGGTATGAATATTAACAGTACTGTGCAGTCACGCTGCGGTGTTGATGTGGGAGACTTGACTCTGTTGCCTGTGCTCATGGAAATGAAGCTGGAGGTGTTCTGCTGCAGACCCCTTCCCCGGGCTGAGCCATGGCGTGGGCACCGAGAGGTCCTCTCCACCTGCTCTTCCAACCAACTGGGAATAACGTTGATGATAAGGAAAGGGATGATAGTATTAAGAATTAAAAAAGCAGGGAGGTGATGCTGCTTTAAAAGTGTGTGTTAAGGGTAATTTGTAGTATTATGGAAACACTCAGTTTTCGTGTTTCCTGCTGTAGGATGCTAGTTTAAATGTGGTTGTCATAAGGGCATGAAGAAATCTGGACCTTGTGTTTGTCCACCTGGGTATTGTATGTCCCTGTTGTGGGAACAGCTGATCAACACTCAGTTAAATACACAGATAATCTCGCTCTGTTTCCTTTCATTCGGTAGAGGAGGAACCTTTCTTCTGTAGTTTACACTCTGTTGTGCACATGAATGTGAATGGTTCTTGTGTATCTTTGTGTGAAGACTTCATAAATAGACAAATACACTGAGTCTTTCTGGTGGTTTTCATCCCCAACCCCTCCACATCTCCCTGGTCACTTATTTCTAGAGGTTGCTCGTTCCTTTGGTTGTGACCAGTCTGTCTTATTTGGAAGCAACATTCACGTTTGGGTCTGACTTCTATTATTTTCTTTTTTTTTGCACTCTTGACTATGCAGTTTCAATTAAACATCACTCTTTAAAGAATGTGAAAAAGAAAACTCAGTAATAAAGATGTTATTTATTAAGTGTCTCAATTCTGTTTTTACATCGCAACACTTCTTTAAGAGAAATTAATGCAGGTTGTTGAGATAGTAATGACTACTTCAGACGATGTCACCTGTATTTCACTGCGGTGACCCCATCCACTAGCATCTGCGAGTTGAATAAGGTTTATTTTTCTTGGAATTAATTAAACTTTGGTTTTAGTACGTGTTGTGTAACTGAGACCCATTCCTGTATTTCAGTCTTGGTTTAATAAATTTTTCAACAACAGTTACTGGCATTGGAGGTAGGAATGATCTTTGAGCTTTCTCATTTATCCTCTTGCCAGATCAAGATTACTTGATGAATATTTCTGTATTCAGTGTTCAGGTGCTGTGTATGATGTGCCAAAGATGACCTGTGGCATTCACTGGGGTACAGTACCTGCATGCATGTGAGCTTTGTTGTGTTTTAATAATTGGCATTGAACGTCAAATAGAACATTTGGCATCCATGTAAAGTCAGGTCAGAAAAATGATAGTGGTGGTCTCCAGTCCCAGTGAATTCCCAGGTCTGCTTGGAGTTGAATTGTTCCTCTCTTGTTTCTACTGTCAGAGTGTTTGGTTTTTACCACACAGAGTCCAGTATTTCTATTGACTACACCATGCTCAGATCTGGTGTAGATAATGTAATTATTAGTTACAGACTTCGAAATTACATTAAACCCAGGCTGATCCCCTGGCTGTCAGTGGGGACATGTGATTTATTTGCACTTAGATAAACCACTTTTTGCACTAGTATCTCAGTGTGGAACTACACATTGTCTGTTTTGAAATGTGAGTGCTCTAAATGTTTTAAAGCATAATTTATACAATAAACTGCAGAAGAAAAGCTAAAGATGAAGGTGTTCTTAAACATGTTCTTAATGTGGTTTTTATTGTTATGTTATCCCATGCTTGAAATGTAAGTATTGGGAATAAAAAATAAAATTCCGACTTGGGATTTGAAGAAGAGGAGTTTTAAATAGGTCGTTTTTGTCAAATTATTAAAACCAGGAAAAAAGTGTGCTGACTAGTACAAGGTCTAGTAGTGAGTTTGGGTTTTTTCAGTTGGGTATAATAATAATAATTCAGTGTCGCCTTTGCTGGGGTTTCTGGTCATGTATGCATGGAAGCAAATCCTCTTTGAGCATGGAAAAAAAATGACATTTCCCTTTTTGCAATTTTAAAATGAGATGGAAGGATCTGACCTTACAGGCAAATGCTGCTGCCTGAGAACACAGCTGCCCTCTGGGATTTGCAGTGTTGGTGGGACTGGGAGTGGGGATTGCCGGCGCGTTCAGGTGCTCAGCAAACTGGGTCCACTCAGCCCTGTGTGACACAGCCCGCAGGAAAGTGTATTAACCTGCTGGGAGAGAGAACGAGCTTCCAATCTGAAGTGTACGTTCTCCTTATTGTACAAATTATTTCTTACTTGAGTGCTTTTTAACTAGAATTAGAAATCTGGTGGTGAGCAGTTATGGGAAAATGATCATTAAAAACCCATATCCCTTGTTTTTCTTATAACCCCATTTCTTATGGCACATGTCCCATCCCAATAAGGAATTTGTAATAATATTTTGGAGCCTCTGATGCCTTTCATTCCAGGATCTCAAAGCTTTCAGCCTGCTAATGCAGCCTCAACATCCTTGTGAGGCAGAGGGCTTGTGGTGTCCTTGTTTAACCTGTGACAAAGGTGAGTCTGGAGGGCTTGGGTCGTCCCTGGTCACAGCCTGGGTAAGAAGAGCTCTCACAGCAACACGGAATGGAGCAATGCCACCCTTAACCTGGGCACTGCTTGCTTCTCTCCCAGAGCCATGACAGAAGCCTTCATCACATACAAGGTACTCAAGATTCTGCACAAACCGGGTGTAAATTGGTGGCATTTTGGGTCATGGCAAAAAAGCCGCTGTAAGTGTGTACCATTCACTAGGTGTGGGGCACCCAACTACGACAATGTTTTGTGGATAACAAGTTAAAAGCACGAAACCTTGCAATGTGTGGAGTGGGTGCAAAGCTTGGATCTACTTGTAATTTCTGATTCTCATCACATGTGTGGTGTAAATAAGTGCTATCCTTACAGAAGGAGAATTTAAAGTCTTGCTTTGAGCACTGGGTCCAAATGCCTGGTTTTGGCACAGGCAAATAAGAATTTATATTGTTTAGTTAGATTTTCTCCCTTCACAAAGATGGTTCTTGGCTGTCAGAGTGGTTTGAGTAACTCCCAGGAACAGTACTAACTGGAGCAAACCCCTGGCAGTAGCGTGGGGCAGAGGTGAGCTGTTGGAGCCCTGATCTTAGGGATTTAATACTGGAGTACCCCAACCCAGGAGGAGACAGAGCTGGGGGATCCTGATCCTACCTGCCGGGAGGAGCTGGAGCAGTTCAGGGTTTGCAGCACGTGGGGTTTGCGAGCAAAGGGAGCTGCCTTCAGTGAGGATGTGGCTCTTGAGAGGAAAGTTGTAATTTGGTGTAAGATTGTTAAAATTTTTGTCAAAGGTTTGTTGCAACCTAAAAGCTTTGCTCAGCAGTGAGTGGGCAGGAGGAGGGGGCAGCCAGGGTCTCCATGAGGATTATGCCAGCATCTCTAGGAAATACTCAGCTGAGTTCCTGCCTGTGCAGTGGAGGAAGGGAAGAATTAATTGGGTTGAAGAATGTCCTCTTGCCAGCCAGGTAAGAG